GGCCCGGGCCTGGGCCCGGGAGCACCGGGAAGGCGGCGGTTTGCAGCCAGGGCCCTGCCCGGTGAAGGCTCTTGGTGCACAGGGCTTGGCTCGGTACCGACTGAAAGGCCCGGGGGGGGTCACGGTGGTGGTGGCTTTTCCCCTGCCGGGGTAATGATGGATTTAATGATTTTTCCTTTTAATTACAGCTCCTGGAGCCTAACCCCGGGCCTGTCGCTGCGCCAGGTCCCAGTCAGAGCCCAGGAGGGCAGCAGGAGGAGGGCTGGGTGCAGCGTGGTGCTGGAGGATGTGTTTGGGCTCAGCCCTTGGCCCCACCCACTGATGGTGGCTTGAGGCGGGAGCTGGGGCTGGGCTTGAAAACCCCGGAGTCGGGACCCCGGGGAAATGTGGGCACCTCAGTCTTCACAAGCCGCGTCCTCAGGGTTACATCTCCCAGGGCAGCGTTCCTCACAGCGGGAATAACTCACCGAGTTTTCCAGTCTGAGCAGCCTCTGTGGCTCGCGTTTTGGCTTTTCCCACGTTTGATTTAGTTGTCGGAGGGCAAATACACCAAAAAATGGTGTAGTCTGGGGAGAACCAGTTCTGGTTCCTGCCTGTAACATCTGCAGGAGCGGGATGGCCTCTCTCCCCTTGTGTACCGTTCAAACCCAAGCTCGTTAAGTATTTATACCCCGTACCGTGGATCTTACATCTATACAGGCCCTGGGACAGCACAAGTGTTTTCAAACCCCGTTTGGCTGCGGTTTCTAGACAAACCCTTCCAAGTGCTCTTTTACCCCAGCAGTAATTCTCGCAGCAGCTGCCTGCCTGCAGCGGTATGTAACGGAGGGACAGAAATAGCAGATTTTTTGGGAGCAAGTCCCAGCTGAGGCTGGAGGCCAGAGCGTCAGGGTTACTGCAGTTAAAACTCTGTATTTACTCTACATGGGCAGGAGAGGGGTTTTATGTGTATTTTACGTTAGTGGAGCCTCCACCCCTGCAAGGCAGGGTGCCGAAGGCCTGATTCTTCTCCTGCAGCGTTAGCCCTTGCAGGATGTTGCAGGGGATGTATAAAATCCCGCTGCGGAGGGCAGGATTTTAACCTGCTGCGATAAATGGAGAAACAGCCACTCTGTCACGCTGAGCCCACTGTAACGCTGGGAAAGGCTCCTTGTAGGGACCAGGTACTCGCTTGGGATTTATGAAAGCCTCCCACGAACGTTTGTTAGAAGTGCCCTTTCTGATTCCCTTTGAATTCCCCCTTGTTGTTGCTCGAGTTAACCGCATCTGGAAGGGAAAAAGAGCACGTGGTGCTGCTGCGGGCTGGCGTCAGCTCTCGGCAGCCACAAAACGAAGGCTCTTTGCGATGCTGCTGGCAGGTGCTGCTGATTTTTGCTCTAACTCCTGGTTCCTCCTGCTGCTGAATTGCCTCCAGCTGCCACAGGACCTGTCCACCCCCTTCCACCCCCTTCCCCAGGTGTGGGTCTGGGTGTTTGTAGGACCAAGTTATGACTTTTTTTTTTTTTTTTTTTTTTCTCTAGTGAAAAGGAAGCAGCACTGTGTTTTCACCCGTCTTCATCCATCCTGTGTTCCTAGCTGCTGCCCTTGGCTACAAAGCGGCGCAGTCCCCATTTGTGGGGGACAGTGCAGGCAGTAGGTACCAGTTCTTGTGTGTGCAGAGTTTTGGGGGGCTGGTGGCCACGGTGTCTGCAGGGAGGTGTGACAGCAGAACCAGGTTAGGCAGAGCGATGGCTGCCGAGATCTTTGGGTTTTGGGGTACGTGGCTTACCGGGAGAAGCGGTGGGAGCTGAGTCTCCTTCCTCTGGCCAGCAGGAACCTGAGGGGTGTCTGCCAGCACCCTGTGGCTCCTGGCCAAAGGCGATGGAGCTATTTTTTTTCGTAGATTCAAGGTGCAACAGCCACAAGCTGGGGCTTGTGAGCTTCAGGCTCCTCATCTGTGAGGGTGGCGTCACCTTGGACAAGTTGACATCAAAGCTGGAGGCTCTGTCCTTGGGGTATTGCAGGACTCGGCTGCACAGAGCCCTGAGTGCCCTCGGCTGGGGTGGGATTGGTTTGGGGGGCTGGAGAGGGGACGCTGGGGTCTGTTCCCTGCGCTGCCCCAGCTCCTGCAGACCCCATGCTCTCCCAGCCCAACGTGTCTGTCGCCTTTTCGAGGCTGCAGACGCCACCTTGTTCCCAAGTGTCCCCATTCCTGCCCAGAGCTGCCTCTGCATCGCTGAGACGTTTGATTTTGAAACAGTGCAAGCGGGGTTTAGAGGGTTGCAGGGTCTGGATGGAGTGGGGAGAGATCTCGGTGCAGAAATGGTGAGAAGTTGTCTGCTCTGGGTCAGCCGGGGGTTTACCAGCTCCCTCCCGGCCTCAAGGCCATTGGCAAGTGCACACTCTGCGTTTAGTGCCGTGTGTGCAGGCTACCAGATATGAGCTGCTCCAAGCCATGATTCCTTGTGTCCATCTAGCTGACAATAACTGTGCTGGCTTCCAGGTAGCGTGGGGATGGGATTTACTGGGCTTTGCGTCCCGATGAAGTCAGAGGCAGCCTATCTCCTCCTCTACCCCGGCTGTAGGGATCAAGCAGGGCTCTCCCGCTCAGTCCTCGCGTTTCTCGGTCCAGGCTGAGACGCAGTCTGAATTCTTCCCCTTTGTCACTGATCCTGTGTCACCCTCGACAGCCCTGCAGGAATGTCCTCAGATTTGGGGTGCTGTAGGTGAGACTGGGGTGTGGTGGGTGTAGGTGCTAAAGGGGAGGGAGTTTTGTAGAGCTGGAGGAACTCGGGGCTGGCTCAGATTCTACATCCAGAGTTAGCAGGGTCCAGGGAAGCCTCATTCAACCCGACGCTGTTCTTCAGGCTGTAAACCAGCGGTACCCAGCTCTGAGGGATGCCAAAATCGTTATAAAGTCTCGGTAACACCCTGAGAATGTATGAAAATGAGTTTTGAATGAAGTTGCCTGTTTGGGATAAATATTTGATGTGCACAGCATGAAGAGAACAGCCTTGTCCTGGCGTGTTTTCAAGCTCTTTTCTTTCTCTTTCAGGGCACGATGTTCCTGGTTGGACTTTCGGGTGGAATCGCATCAGGGAAGAGCACGGTGGTGGCCGTATTCCGGGAACTGGGCTGTGCCGTGATTGATGCTGATGTTATTGCCAGAGAGGGTGAGTTTTGCATCGTTGATCTCTCTCCCTGAGGTTCCCCTGACAACTGGGCTGGATGCAGCGCAGACGGCAGAGGGTGCTCTGGGTACGTTAGAGAAGTGTTTTCCTCCCGTGTCGATGAGGCTGCGTGGAGCGGCTGTCTCAGGAGGATTGGAACTAGGATATATTTTTAATAAAGAAAAAAAAAAATCTTGTCCTAATAACAAACACCGCAGGGAGATCTTGCCCTGAGTTTTCCTCTCCAGGAGTGCAATGCTCCCCAGCTTTGAAAGCCAACTGGCGGCAAAAGAAATTCCCTTCTCTGTGAGCAGGTTCTGAGGAAATCATCTGATTTTCAATATGAGAAAATCATCTGATTTTCTATGAAAATAAACACCCTTCTCTGTAAAGCAGGTTCTGATCTGACATCCCCCCAGCCTACCCATCCCGTAACACGTCAGGTGGGATCACTGACACCCTGAAAAAGAATTTCCCTCTGTGCTTGGTTGTAAATACCGAGAGATTTGTCCACAAAATTACATGTGCCTTAATGCACTCAAAAAAAAAAAGCAGCTCCAAATATCGCAGATCAGAAGGAATTTGGTTTGTGCTTCTACACAACACACCTGCCTCTCGCTGCTCTGGAATTGTGCCGTCCTGGCTGCAGAAAAGACCCAGAAATCCCGATCTGTTGCCTCAGCAGGACCGGAGCAGCCCCTCGATGACCTGTGCGATGCGGGGTGAGATGTTAATCCCTCCGTAGCACCGAGGAGCGCAGTGCTCGCTCCGGGAAGAGCTGCTGATTTGGTATGCGGAAGGTTTCGGGTCTGCAGTTGAGCGGTGGTGCAGACGGTGTCATTTTGAAATGCTGAAATTTGGAAAAAAAAACAGTGCTTTTGCTGTTTGGTGAAGAACTTACCCTGTAGCCGCTCCAGGCTGTGATGTTCTTAACATTTTATTGCACTGTAATTCCCCTCGAGGTGTGGAAAATTTGCTGGAGGTGCTAAAATCCCTCAGAGACGATAGGAAAACACGACAGCTACTCGGTGTCGGTTTTCTACCAATCGCTTCATTTTTCTCCAATTCCTTTTTTGTATGTGTTTATTTACTGGATGGATTTCACCCATCCTGAAACTGCCTCCATGTGAAATTCCACGAGAGAAAGAAATTGCTCTTAAAGCATTTTATTAGCTTGGCCTGAGGTTACAACCTGTGACAACCTTGCTGGATTTTTGGAGAGAAAAATTTTATACAGGCTGTCATTTTCTGTGGCTGGCCTCAGCTTGATCTTAATTCTGGTTTTATTACCGCATCCTTTTTGTTGGCCATTTTTTGGTGGCTTTAAAATTATATGCTCGTGTTACATCAGAATCCCTGCAAATACCTGGTGGGAAGTGATCTCTTAGAAGGTTTTTGTGTTTGCTCTCGTGAAGAATTTGGTGATTGAGGCGAAAGAGAGTAAAAAAAACTTTGCAGCAGCCAGGCTTCACCTAGCGCTGAAGTTTTCAGCTAAAATAACCCTGCCGCTCGTCCTGCTTCCTTTAGGGTCTCCCCGCGGGTGCCGGTGGTGGGGATCGGCTCAGCCCCGTCCCTGCCCACACCTCGCCCGGCAGCGAGTCCTCCCGCCTGCCCTGCTGCCTCCTAACCCCGAGCGGCAGCACGCACCGGGGAGGGTTGTGGTGCTGAATTAATGTCTGCAGGATGCTTCGATCTCCCGGGCGTCAGCCCTCAAAGGGACCTTGGGCTGAGAGTTTTTTTTTTTTTTTTTTTTTTTTTTTTTTTTCTTTCCAAACGTTTTCCTGCAGCACCGCTGCCAGGTGTCTGCTGCACCGCGCCGGCCTGGGTTCGGCGTGTGCTGGCGGCAGATGCGCTGCCCGCTGAGGAGCGCAAGCCGGGTTATTTACTGAACAAAACTCATTTGAGGCCGATCGCTGCTGCAAACACCGACTGTGCTGTAAAACCGGCTCTAACCTCCGGCTGTTTGGTGTTATCAGTGGTGCAGCCCCGCCTCAAGGCCTATCAGCAGATCGTGCGGTACTTTGGCACCGGAATCCTCTTGGAGAACGGAGAGATAAATCGCGAGGCTCTAGGAAACATTATCTTCTCCCACCCGGAGAAACGGCAGCTGCTGAACTCCATCACCCACCCAGAGATCCAGAAGGAGATGCTGAAGCAGATCTTCAAGTATTTTCTGCTCGGTAAGAGCTCAGGCGATTCCAGCGTCCCAGGGCTCCGGCTGGGGCGATTCTGCTGCCCCAGGGCTCCGGCTGGGGCGATTCCGGCACCCTGGGGCTCTGGCTGGGGTGATTCCAGCACCCCAGGGCTCCTGCTTCGATGATTCCGGCGTCCCGGAACTGCCGCTGGGGCGATTCCGGCGCCCCGGGACCCCTGCTTGGGCAGTTCCGGCGCCCTAGGACTCCCGCTGGGGCTGGGACCAGCCCTGCTCGCTCTGCTCTTGGTTTTAAAATGGGGAGAGGGACA